ATAAGAGAGGTAAAAGTGGTATTTTAACAAAATACATAAGTGTTTTAGGTTTTATCTCTTTTAATAAATATTAAAAGATGAAAAATACATAAAAATATACATTTAAATTTAATTATCCAAAAAATAATAAAAAAGAAACATTTACAATAGGCTTATATCTACTATATAATAAAAGCCTTCTTAAAGCAAGCAGGTGCCATGAAATTTTTTTTTTTTCATTTTTGTCATTTTTGTTTTTCAGTTTTTACTTTTTGCATGTTTGTCTCTTATGCAGTTGTCAACTAATGTTTTTTTTCCGTTTATGCCATTCACTTTTTTTACTTTTCATTTACTTATTACATACTCATATCTGAGTTAAAAAAATAAGTTTTTTTTTCCATTTATATCCCTCACTTTTTGTACTTTTTAGTTAGCTGTTGTTTATTTTCTCTTTCTTAAAGTTTAAGAAAAATGGTATAATTTGTGTTTCTATTTATGCCCTTCATCTTTTATACTCTTTACTTATAAATTATCTACTATCTTCTCTTACTTAGAGCTTAAAAAAAATAACTTAATTTTTATATCAACTTATGCTCTTCACCTTTTGAATTTTTTTTTTTTTACTTACTCGTTATCCACTTTTTACTCTTACTTAGGGTCGTTTCTTTCGCATCCTCAAACCTAAATCATTGATTCTACAATAGTGTAAAACTCTCACATAAAATTTAAATTTCAAATGTCAAAATCAAGAATCATTAATTTAAATATACCTCCTAAACAAGTCTAGAGTTTGAAAAAAAAAAATGGTTTACTTTTTATATCTATTTAAACCCTTATCTTTTATACTTTTTATTTACATATTATTTTTCTCGTATTTAAGGTACAATAAAAAGTGATCAAATTAAATAATATTTATACTCTGACAATGAAAATATAATTATAACTTACTTATCTGCATCATAAAATTATTTTTCTTATTGCATGCACGTGCCTCTTTTTACTAGTCACTAGTCATGTGTAGATAAATATGCTTTTTCCTTGCTTATTACTCCTTTATATTGTTTAATTGAGCGGTGGCAAATTGATCTTCCCTCTCCTTCCCACCACCAAAAGCCATTTTTTAGACCTAAGAAAAACAAAAGAAAGAAAAAACAATCTCAACAATAAAAAACAAAAAAAAAATCTCTCAAGCATTTCAAGGACAAATTTAGCATTCCTTTGTTTGCTCTTAGACTCTCGAGTCCAATTTGATTATCCACTCTATTCGCAAAGTGAAACCAACAAATTCCATTGTCAAATCATGGAGTAGCCACTCACTCATGTTCCCAATCGCCAATCCATGGTTCGCCTCTTTGCCTTCACTATTTTCTGCCATTTTATGCCGGCTTTCACAAATACAAGTTTGCATTTCAGAAACAAAAGTCGAAAACACAAAAGAACAGAAGAAATGCAAATTTGTCATTCCATTGAGTTACCGTCTCACAAGAGTTCACTTATAAGATCACCGTTCCTTTCGACATCTGTACTTTCCATGGCCAGCCACACGACAGAAAACAGTACCTTTGCAAGAGACAAGTGATTACTTCATCCACTTTGAACATAAACTTTTTACCAGAAGAAACCTAGTATACCAGCAAGCTAGAAACCTAGTAACTGTGTTCTTTTATCCTTTTAGAAGAGCTCCATCAATTGCCGCGTCACATCTGCATCAACAGTCGGACATGTCGTTATCATATAGAAACTGCGTGAGCTTGAAGGACGTTGATCAAATGAACACAAACAGAAAGAACTTAACAATTAGCGCAGAAATTACCTTGAAGAATATCTGGTGTTGTTTGGAATTCTTGCCAGATATTCTGATGCGAACCAAGATCCATATGGAGAAATTTGGCGGCGAGGTAAGCAGCTCCAGCAGCAATATGATGGGGTTTAAACTGAAGCCACAGCGAGCTCCGAAGCCTGAAAAAAGACAAAACATAAGTCAGCTTTTAGAGATCGCAAGAGAAGCAGCACTGCACACGTGTAGAGACACTTGGACAGTCAAACCAAACCATCAGGAGCAACAGTAGTTAGGACACGAATTGTCTTCTGCATCCTAGCATACATATTTTGACATTGATAAGAAGTACCCAGCAACAGAAGCATCAAAATAAACATACGGAATTAAGAAATATAAGCAAGACGACAGTAAAGCAGACATCACTTTCAAGAAGGAAAAAAATCATTTACTTCTTACCAACTAAAAATGCAGCTAGTCAGGTAGAATAATTTCCAAGAATCTCTGCAGCATGCTGATAGAGTACCAAAACTACGACATACATGTTATACCCATCTAGAGAACACATCACACTCCCAAGGCCCAAATTTCTGCAGGGGCATTTTACTCCAGATACATATTATGAGAAAGCAAAAAGGATACAGCAGCTCATTGCAAACAATTAAACTTCTCAAAGCAAATCCTTTATGTTTCCACTCAATAGCTGGATCTCGACAACCTTGTCAAAGACACATGCTTTCATGCTCACCATTTTTTTTTTCTTTTTTGTTGAAGCTTTCATGCTCACTTAGCATGCAACTCCAACTACTATATGCCAATCCATAATCAGCCACCAAAAGCAATATTTGCAGGCATGAGATAAAGAAACCACCCGTTACATCATAGTAAACAAAGATTCTGTAAGCTAGCTCATTCCTCAGATATCCTGTACTAGTCTACTTGGTATAATACATACATAATAAAGATAGCATGACTAAGTTTTCAGATTTTAAAGTCATGCTCTGCACAAAATTTCAATTTTGTTTGTAACCAAACAATAGATTCTTGCAGGGAGAGCAAGATTGTATAGTTCTCAGAACTTGGGGATCTAACTCTATCAAGAGGAAATTCAATAAGACTGGACGCATTTTAGTTTCTAGTGGTGGGCAATTATATTAGTAACAAAATATTTGCAGAACTAAAAGCTAAGGAAAGAAATAAAATCAGCCCACAGACGTCAAAGATAGTCCTAGTTCCAATAAAACAAACAAAAAAAGGAGGAAGTTTAAGAGGTAAACAATGGGTACACGCTGAATATGATTTAGCCTAATCAGAATAGGAAAGAAGGAAACTAAGTCACAATAGGATAAATAAAATCATTTTATTTAGTTGGGATATATGTTGAGGAGGTAAAGGGAAGAGGGTCTTAGATATATGAAAACTGCAGACTTACATAAAAATTCGGAACCTTTTCAAGTGAAAATGTACGTTATCCTGTTGTGCCCACGCTTATGCGGTTTTTGTTTTCATATAAAAAAAGGGTGTCTTACCATATCAAATCATGCAAAAATGGTATTAATAATAATGATATAGAAATGGTAATGGTGATGATAATGACGACAAAAAGATAATGTAGTGATAATGGTAATGCTACACATTATGGTGCTAATCTAGTAGTAGCAAAAGTAGCAGTTAGTTGTAGAACTATGAAAATGTGAATCCGTACGAAATTCAAAACTATTATACATTCTTTAAAGAAAGATTACAAATTATGATAAGCTCAATTTGACAAAACAAAAAAGATAGTCATTTAATTTGTGAGCTCCCTTTAACATAGTAAACTAACATATTTTTTTTAATAGAAAATGTAATTATTAAAGGTTAAAAAGAACTAGATAAAATATTTAGACTCATTCTTGAAAAAATAGGAATTGAAAGATGTGATAATAGATAGCATTGAGATTAAGATTTAGTAGGAGTATATAAATTGCCGAGAAATCTTAAACAGCTCCACCAAAAATCACATGCCCAGTACAATGCAAAATTTGAACCACATTCAGGAAAGCAAGAGGAAAAACACGTTAGAAAATCAATATTTTCAACTTACTCATAAACTGCGCAAAATGTTTGCTAATAATGAAAATAGAATGCTTAATTAAAGGAAAATAGCAAGTCTTCAAATTAATCTTTTATAATACTTTCCAGAAAAAAAAATCCATTTTAGAAAATAAACATAGTTAGTGATTAAAAAAGATTTAAAAATTATTAGATGAAATAAACATAAGTGGAAGAAATAAACATAAGTGGAAGAAATATACACATATTGTACCATGAAAATTAAGTTAATCCTTCTTTTCTTGTTTCATTTTCTCCTCTTCAATCTATCTATAGAAAGGGAAAAAAAATATGGATTTGCTCAAGAGAAAAAAAAAAAAAAGGAGAATATGGTTTAGCATATTCCAAATGCCTTTGGTCCCCCCGCCGGAGAGAGCAAAAATTAAATTCCGGCGAAGAATCCATCAGAAGGCTGAGTACACACTCCACATATATTTGACTCTCCAGAGGAAAAATTCAATTATTATCTTCTAAGAATGTCAACATGAAGCAGCCACCATCCCTTGCCATTACAATAACTGTGTTTCCTAAAGCGGTCTCTCTCGACTCTCTTCTTTTCTTCCTCCCTCAGTCTCTTCTTCCTCTTTACTTCTAATTTCCCAAACCAGTGCAACCCAAGAAGGGATTGGAGTCTTTAACTACCATCCTAGGATGAATAATACAGGATATTTGACGACCTCTATGAACTCGAAGCACACTTTGAGACCCAGATAACAACTCAGACCTGGCAAAACTGCATCTGGCCAAGTTCTAAACTCCCAAGCTCCAATATCCAACAAGACAGGAAAACATTTTGGCCCTGTTTGGAATTGATTCCGTTTTTTTTCACGTTTTTCAAGAATGAAAAAATGAAAACGTCTCCAAAACGGCGTTTGGCGCAATAAAGACAAAAAACAGAAATGAAAACGATTTTTTAATTTAGTGTAAAATGAGAGAAATGAAAAACGACTTCTAATTATTTTTCAGTTTTTGTTTTCGTTTTCTCCTCTCTCGAGCAGAAAGAAAGAGAGAGAGAGACATTAATGAGTTTTTTTATACTGAAAACAATCTCTTGATAAAATTACCAAACGCATTTTTAAAAATGAGATTGAAAATGTTTTCATTTTCATTTTCATACAAAAAATAAAATCATTTTGAAACGAGTTCCAAACGCGCCCTTTAAATCAACAATAACTAGAGGATTCAAGGTGAGCAGCCAGCCACAACCTCTCGAGACATAGAGACCAGATGTAAAACTTCTATGACAAATCAAAATGCTGGACCAATCATGGGTTGCATTTGCAAGTGAAAATCAAACTGACAATCCTGATATTCAAAAAGAAGAAACATTAGAATTCTCAGGGCTCAAGAAGCTTTAGTTTTTCGGAAATATATATATAGTATATGATATAGTTTTAAAAATAACTTAAACAGGCCATAAAGTTAATCAAAGTGCAAAAATTTTAAAAACAAGGAAATTTCTCTACTGACCTAAACGGTCTCCAGTACATGATCATGTCTGTCATCAGTGTTAAGTAGTTAGTAAAATGATACGCAGTATCCAATATCCACATTCCAAAAAGGCCATTGTCACGGGAAGGACGAAAACTATATACCAATCCTTGCGTAGACAATGGTTTTCCAAAACGAAGTGGATAGGAAGAAATATGTCACAAAAAAGGCCATTGTCACAGGAAGGACGAAAACTATATACCAATCCTTGCTAAACAATGGTTTTCCAAAACGAAGTGGATTGGAAGAAATATGTCACAAACTCTTACGTCTGCGACTTAAGAGGATTTATGCAAAGAAAATCCACTAAAAGATAGTTAGAAAGCAAGTTAGAGGTAAGATAGGAAAACAAATTTGGGTTTGGTGGGTAATTTTAATAGCCAACAAAAGGCGGTGATATTTAAGGTCAAGTTATCCGCAATATATTGGCAATTTACTTCAGATGCAAAAAACAAAACTTTCCAAGAACGGCATATCAATCCTCCAGCTAAGAAAAACAGGGCAGCACGCTAATCTTGTGTGGATCCTGCAATTATATGCATGCCAACAGAATCAATAACCCATAATAACTACACACAGTAGTTGCTCTAAAGAAGAAATTATCGACACAAACACAGTTCGAGCCATAAGAGTGCAGGAAGAAAACCAGTGCAATCTCTCCCAAGGGTCCAAGGCCTAGCCTCCTCCACATGTCAAGAATCTGCATTTCTCTTTGAGATCTTGACATCCAAGGTCAAAATCCTACTCCTTACACTAAAATTTTTCTACCGGGTCAAAATGCAGTAACAGGATTCAATAAACTAACCAAACACACAACACCTGAAGAATGCAAAGGATGAGATTACCAAATAAGGACTTAAGCCAAACACATTCAGAGTATACATTGTACAGCATTACATAATGAGCTAACAAATATTATCCCCACAATGATCTAAGTTATTTGATAGGAAACGTATCACAGAAAATATAAATACACAAGTACATCCAACAAAACCAAAATGTGAGAGATGAACTTACCCTTCACTGACCAAGTTTAGTGCCAGATTCACCAAGACAGTTTGCGAAAGACCTAATTTGTTAAGAACAGATGTAAGAGAACCATAAGGATGCTGCACATTCAGTTCGAAGTTTAAAGTAGTAAGTATCATATGTTCAGCCTCGATCACCCGCTCCCTATACTGCTCAAACCAGTCCTGTTCAACATGCAACCATAGTCATATCAGCACGCCAACCTTAATTTTGTTTGTGCGCTCAAATTCAAAATTGGAAAAAGAAAATAAGCAAAGAAAAAAAAAATTTTTTTTTTTTTAATTAATTAGCAAAAGGAAGTTCCAGAATCCAGGGATACTTACAACAGGGAGCAGAAACGACAAGAAATTCATATCCTGCTTATGGAAAATTTCACTAGATGCTCTCAACACATTATTCAAAGGGCGTGGTGTCTCCTCGAACTTTGCAGCAAGAAAGAGAGCCGCGGTAGCTATCAACTGCACAAGAGGCAACCAGTGAGTAAATGTCTCAACATCAACAGATATCAGATATTGGACTAGTGTAATGGCATCATAACATGGGTCCATTCCATATAACACAAAATGTGTATTCTTTTCCCTAGGAAAATAAAAAAAGGAACTTTCTTACGGCTAAAATTGTAAAAGATGCAAATTAATACACGAACTTAATCAGATGACTGTTATTTAGAGAACTCACAAATCTATCATGGCAGGCATGTGACCTTCGAACAAAAAATCGATGGCAGAGAACCATAGCAGTACCAATAGTAGTTTGTGGCCTGAAAGATACACGAATTACATCAATCAAATATTTACATAGCAGGGTCATTCAATTAACAAAGAAAACTATATTAAACCAACTAAATAGAAGAAGAGCTTACAAATCAAGGCGCAATCCGAGATTCTGAAGGAAGGCACAGTAGGAATATCGCAAATGCGTCTCACGCAGGGCATCAATGCCGTCTTTCCGCGACGGGGAGTATCTGTCAATCTCGTCCCTCGACATAAAGACCGGTTCATCATCCTCCAACTTCGAGCGGTCACGTTTGCAGGAAGTCGACGTGGAGGCATCGGAATTGAATCTTGTGGGAGGGCCCGGATTAACACCGCAGTCATATGCATTGGGCGGGAAATAAGGTCTGCCAGTGTCTCCCCAAGTGGAAGAAGAGAATTTCCTCCGCTTCCAAGATGGTGCCTTTTCAGACTTCACATAACTAGAATTATCGTTATAATCCCTATATCTGCCTGGGTAATCTTGGGGATTGCTAAAATCATTAAAATTGCTAAAACTCCTCATATAATTACAGTTTCTGGTCCTGTTTTTGGTACTATTGTTGAAATTGTTTCTATCTAATGAGGACCAATAATCATCGTAAATTGTGCCCCCTTGTGGGTGGAAGTTTCGCGTAAACGACATAATTCCTGGTAATTTCCCCAAAAAAAAAAAAAAAGCGTCAAATTCACGAAATAGAAATATTCAGATCTGCTTAACAAAATTAAACCCTAGAAAACAGGAAATTTCCTGATAAAATCAGCTAATTACGCAAAAAAACAACATCGGATAAAAAAAAACACAACAAAAAACGAAATTGATCAAGAATATTTACAATCGAGAATCGAATTGAGATAAAAACACAAATTTTACCTGGATCGGAGAGATTTTGCAAGACGACGAAGCCGCTCGGTTTCGATTTCAAAGCTTTTAGGAGACGAGGGATTTATGAAATACAGAAATATATATATATATATATATATATAGAGAGAGAGAGAGAGAGAGAGAGAGAGAGCGTAAAGGCGGTGAAAATTTTGAAAGAGAGATGAGACTTGAGAGAATGAACAAAAGGGAAAGCGATGATGATCATCAACCAAAACCAAAACCAAACCAAACCCACAATCCACGCGCACGCTTTTCTTGCCTGCTTTGATTTTTCCTTTTTGTTTTTCTTTTCTTGTTTTTTTTTTTTTTGATAATTATTTTTTCTTTTCTTGTTATTTTCCTTTGTTCGGAACTTTGGATTTTTTTTCCAACTTTTTTACCCGACGGTTCGCGCCGAACGTGCCACGTGGAAAGTGTTGCTGCAGAAGTTGTGTTGACCAGAAGACTGTTGTGCTGGACCTAGTACATTGGCCCATATAAATTAATTGGACCTTGTCTTTGATCAACATAGGCTGCTAGCCCTTAAGTTAAGCCCAAATGGGATGGAATCAGAAAGCCCCACCTTGGGCCTCCAAGCTTTCTAAATAAACCGAAAAGATTTCTTTTTATCAACTAATTATGGCCAAATTATTTTGATAATGATAAATATAGCAAAAATGAAATAATAATTATCACTATGATATTGTATTTTGTACTATATAATGATAATAATGATATAAAATTTTGATATTTTTATAATATTTTAAAATTTTGGCTAAATTTAAATTTTGATATTCAAATTTTACTATATGCATAAATTACTCATTTTGTTTAAAATACAACCAAAAAGATGTCTGTATATAAATTATGAGGGAATTACATGGTATGCCACTAAAATTTAAATTCTTTACATTTATGCCACTAAATATCAATAGATCAGATATTATCAAGTGACTTGAGTAGTATAGATCTTAAGTTTTCCCCCCTCGGTGGTGGCGTAAATGGATTCAGAACTATTTTCGATTTATGTATATTTTTTATGAGAAAAAATACTGTAGCAAACCACGAACTATAATTCAAATCATAGTACGAATCTACCAACCAAACACTATGGTATCATTTGGGTGACTAACTAGACCTTAAGGCGACACCCAATCTAATTTACTTAAAGCAATGATTACCACTAATTGTATGAGAACAATAACAATTTTAAAGGTGGGGGATTTCTTCAACAGAAATAGCTAACCATCTTCCATAGAAAACTTCAAAATGGATGGCTAATCTCAACAGTTGACATCAAAAACCAAATTTATTACAACTGAAATTATTAGTTTTCAAAGCTTGAACAATTGTCAAGGCATCAGACTTTACATGATGGAAATTTAGTCCTACATCTTTTACTCAAATCAGATTAAAAGTATTTCTTTAACTTCATATTCCCAAGCGAGCAAAATACCATCTGAAATTTGTGTATGAAATAAAAGCATTTTTATTTATTTTGATTAAAATTTTTCGTTCAAATTCATGAATCAAACTAGTACCTATTCTTGTGTATAGCACATGATTTTCAATTGGTTGTTTTCATATTTTGATTTTGATTTTTGAAGAATTGCTACTCAACATGAACGTAAAGTTCAACAAAGTTTATTATGCTCTTATATGTATTAACACTTAGGCTTAGCTTACGACGGTTGTGCTTTTAAAAGAAACATTACTTTTATTTATAACAAAAATGAAAGCAAAATGAAAGTCAAAAGCTTAAAAAAAAATCAACTTCTCAAAATAATAAAGTGAACAATTTTTTGGAAAAACGTCTATATTTTATAACGGTACTGCTAAAAGTAATCGCAAACTGAACCTCATTCAGTCAATGAACACTCCATCAACATCCTATTTTGTCAAAACACGTTAGTCCAATACCTTTTCTTAAATTTTTTTTCGGTTTAAACCTTTTCTTAATTTTGTTTTTGGTTTAAACTTTTACTTAAAGCATTCAACTAAATACATATTATAATGTGAGACAAGATAACAGAAAAAAAAGATTTTGAGTTCTTGAACATAAAATTAGAGTTGAGAATACATTTGGGTTGTTCTTTTAGAGTGTGACTTAAGTGTAATTTTTGAGTTGAATTTGAGTTATAACTTGAATTGAAGTTATAACTTGAATAAAGTTGAGTAAAGTTGGAATTTAAAAGAACGTGAACTTGAATAAAGTTATAACTTGAGTTTCAACTTTTTCTGAGTTTTGTTAAAAAAAAAAAACCTATTAATATTTTTTATTTACTTTATGTGGGGTGTATATCTTTTATGTATATTCTACAAATATGAGAGCTTTCATTAAGGTAGTGGAATGTTAGAACTTTATGATAATTTCTTCACTATAAGATGAATTTGTAATAAAATATTACTAATTTGTGGGGAAATCCATGATGATAATGGTGTTTTGGTATCTATAGTCATGTTTGGAATAAAGTTAAATTAGGAATTGTTTAGTTGGGAGATTCGTACCCGATTTAAATCATTGTTCATGATTCACTACAGTGTTTTCTCTAATAAAAAATACACTATAAATAAAAAATGGTTCTAATCTTATGATTCTAATCCATGAACCAAACGTCACCTAATGCTTCAAGTGCTAATGATCAGGACAAGTTGAAACAAAGGCTTTAATCTATTTATATAGGTTCAAACCCCTTCTCTTTTACTTTCTAATCGATGTGGGATAAAGACATCTTTTTTATTTTGTCAAAATCCTAAAAATTTCCACCTTTGCTAAATAAAAAAGACTTTCGTTACAACTATTGTTTTTACCAACAGTCATAATTCTCAAGCAAAATAATTACCATACTCTACACATCGCAATTTGTAAAAAGTATAAACATGTATTGTGACCCCTCAACTTTTAAAAAATTATAAATTTTGACCCGACACCAAGTGAAATTCATAATTCCAATATAATACAATACAATACAATACACTAAAAATGAACAGTATTTTATAATATGACATGATTAGTATTGATTTACCGCTCGTATTAATCTATGCAATACAATAGTCCTACCAATCTTTTTATTAGGGCATGTTTCGTAGCTTATATTGTACTATATTATATAAAGTGTATTATAATTCGTATTGTGTTGTACCGTCGTAATATTATTGTAAGGAACGATCTAAATTTTGCACACACATCACATATGAGTGCATGTAGCACTTCTCATTTTTAAGAAATAAAAATCACACATTGAAGAGAATAATATTATACAATTCCCACTAATTCCCTAATACGGTGTGAGAAGGAGAAGGGCCTATAACATGGTAAGCTTTATGAGCTGCGCGTTTGTCTAGCTCGCTCTCGCAAATTCGCAATTAACACGTCGCGTACAGTAGTTTTATTCTTGTGTATAACGCATGATTAATTTCAATTTTGTTGTTTTTATATTTGCTTTGGTTTTTTTTTTTAAATATTAGCTACCCAATTGATTGTAATGTTTCCCAAGGTTTCTCATTTTCTCTCCTTAGAAATGATCCTCTCAGGCTCGTTTAAAATTGTTGTGCATCTAAAAGAAACAGAAAATACACATTGCCATCCGACAACGACCGAGCTCTACGTGGCCATCGTATGCCACATCAGCCAGCGGACAAGAGTTAACGACTTAAGAGTCAGGGCTCAAAGTTGAGTGCCATTCCCATGAGGAAGGGATCGATAGTATGGGGTATTTTTAGAATAATTCTTGAAGGAACGCTCACCAACAATAAGCTTGCAGCCATCAACTTACAAGACAACCGTCAACACTCTGAGCGGTCGAGACATAGATGAATCGTAATCCCTAACAGACCAACGACGCCATAGAGGGGTTGACTGGGACGAAGGGCTCCGCTTGGACTTGTTGTGATACGACAGAGACGCAGAGGGTAGGACGCTCAACCTTTTGACCTAGATCCCAAGAGTATCCTTTGAGGTGACAAGAGAAAAATCTCTGGGTTACTCGTGGGCTTGGGAAAAGTCAGCGGCAGAGAAAATGATTACCAGCCTATAAACCACCTAAAACGGATCAATGGAAATCACAGAAGATCTACAGAGCCGCAATAGTGGACAAAGTTGGTGCATGAACAGTCCAAAAGGTATTGAAAAGCTACAGCCTAGGCAGGTAGGACAATAGGCTACTCAAGAGAAACCGCCAGACAACCCTCTGTCTCAATTTCCTCCAATATGTAATCTATGAGATATAAAAGGGGCAAGGCCCCAGAGAGAGAGGGGATAAAAAAATTGGGAGAATAAAACCTCTGTAATCGAAGAAGAATGAAAATAATAAAGATTTTCCCAAAGTGGATGTAGATCTTTCATTGAGAGTGAACCACTAGAATTTTTGGCGTTCTTCTTATTCATTTGCATCCTCATTCATATTCAGAGCGCTCTTAGGATCCACACACGACCGGTTGCATTTCTTTAGTTATCTTTACGTGTTCTAGCTGGTAACCCGACTGATTACTGGACGGTAATCTAGCGTATTTCTGTTCACAAGATTTCACCGTCAACAACACTTATAAGCAAAAATAGGAGTACAAATAGAAGTCAAAAGGTTAATTTACTGAACAATCTAGTTGTGTTATTTTTATGTGTAAAATATTTATACGAGTCTCGAAAGCAATCTTAAAATTAACTTTGAACTATGTGAAATTGCAATCTTAAGTCTTTCCCCTAAGAATGACTTCGGCTTCTAATAATAATGCTTGATTAATTAGGTGACAATCTAATATAGTACTTCGATGTACTTAAAGTACATTATATAGCACATTGATATCTTGAAACATAACCCGGTAAAAGTTTTAGATACAAGTGCAAAAGTCGATGTAGAGATAAAAGTGTTCTTATGACCCAATAATCATACTTTGATGTTTTGCTTTCGGCACCTTATTTCACATAGCAAGAAAGTTCTTGTTGCCTAGGAGGGAATTGTCATTTGACCTTGGGAATATCATCTTACTTTGTTTTTCGATTGCCGTACTATGTAATGAATAATGTAATTCCAAATATATCAAACCGTGTATTGAAAAATGTGGTAACTATACATTTTTGCATACATAGGTGTACGCCTCTCACGTGACAAGTAAGTGACAAAATCTCTTAAATGTCATTGACAGAAAAAAAAAAAAAAAGATTGGAATTACTAACATTAGTGATAATTATTTTATGCCATACCATATAGCGTAAACAATAATATACTTGATTATTATCTTCCTTCCATATAAAGCATTAACGTTAATGCATGTCACGGATCCACATGCAGGTGAAATCTAATCTAAGCTCTATAATAAAAGACAAATCCAGTTTATATATAGTCTATGATTTCCTGTCTTAAATATAATAAAACCAACAAAAAAAAAAATCATAGACCGATCAACAATTAACAAGTCAAAAATCACAAAACTTTAGCCAATGCCAAATTTATTATATATAATTATGTATAAGTAAAACTTATTAAGAGAACTAGGTATATATTTCTTATTTTTTAACCATTGATCGGCTGTGATGAAAATAACGATTTGAGTCCTTAAATAAAGTTTTTTTTTTTTTTTGCTGCAATCTGCCACTTGATTAGAGTTGCAAAAATTAAACACATCAAATAGTTTTTTAAGCCTCTCATTCAACAATTGAAAAAAAAAAAAAAAAAAAAGCCCCCACATTTATGACCAAAAAAAAAAAAAGAAGTATGTACTACAAAAAAAAAAAAAAGAATGTTCTCCTCAAAACTCATTCATAACAAAAGTATAGCTACGAAAGACGCCAATTAAGGATCTATTAAAAAGAATGGGAAAACGAAAAAGTTAATAATCACCGGTCTGTGATGCTCAATATGCACTGTATATAATGGTCTTATACAGTATACATATGTATTTTTTTATATGGTGTTAGATCTATGATTTCTACTTTATTCAATAAACGAAATTATCAAAATTCAAACCCTGATAAACACACAAATTCATGCACTCATCCATAAATACGTATTAGTATTCGTGTGATAAAAATATTATAGTGACCCAACTCATCACCAAAAGCTAAGCAATTTTATGGGTCCTCAACAATCGTAATTATTAATCCACAGCATTTAGAGCGTAATTAAAACACAGCTAGCTGTACAATGGGGTCGGATATTAACCAAAGATTGTAAAAGGGATCTAATGATACGTATTGGGTTTGGACAACTGTAATATGAGTCAGCAACACATTGCTCTCACTAATTACACTAACCTGACTGTGTGTCATATACATTTTTTTATCCCCACGTAATTCACTACTATAACCTTATTATATATATATATATGATAATATATATATATATAATTATCATAATGAAAAAGTTGAACCTCCTTTCTATAAGGGCCAATATAAACCATGCATGATCCAACCCCACCTTTCACGTTTAAGGCACGTGACACCTAACCTTATTGTAAGCAAAAACACATGACTGCTAAGTTCTAACCACACATATAGGCATATATATATATATATATATATATAGAGAGAGAGAGAGAGAGAGAGAGAGAGAGAAGAGAGAGAAAGAAATTAAAACAAAAAAACAAAAGAAAAGGCACGTATATGGCAATATTTGATCAAATAATCAAAACTCTCCCCCACAATCCCATGTGAGCTTTCACAACTTTAGATCCACCAACTAATTTCTCAAAACAACTATCTTGACGTACAAATTAAAAACACATGAACCACCATAGTTAATAGAACGGCCCTAATACGGTGGCGCGTGTCTTTAAATGCTCATCCACGCCTCACAATTGCGCGTGGGACACTCAAATTAATCACATAATAAATTAGCTTCAAGGCTAAAAAAAGAAAAAAGCTAGTACAAAAGGCTTCCATCTATTTTCAATCTCCCAATTAAAAGACTTTGCAATTCCTATCATTTCATTCCACTTATATTCCTCTTCGTAGCTCTTTCTTGAGGTCATAATGTGTAGCAACCAAAAAGATGGGGAAAAGAAGAACAACACTATTAGACCATAAAAATCCCAAGCCCCACACTCTTCCGCCTTCCCCATCCCACTCTTTCTCCTCCTCTTCCTCCTCCGATTTCGAGTTCACCATCTCCGTCTCGCCGCGGAAATCGTCGAACGCGCTGTGCCCGGCCGACGAGCTCTTCTACAAGGGCCAACTTCTGCCCCTCCACCTCTCGCCGCGGCTCTCCATGGTCCGGACGCTCCTCCTCGCCTCCTCGAGCACCTCCTCCTCCTCCGACACCAGCACCGCCACCACCGCCTCCCGCGACTCCACGGGGAGCTCCAACGACTCCCAATACTCCTCCTTCAATAGCGAGCTCGTCCTTCTGGCGGAGTCCTGCGACTCCTCCAGGAGGGCCAGCTCGGTAACCGAGGACGACGAGTTCAAGCGCCTTACCACTCCTCAAAGTCAAATCAACTTGAGTGGCCAGATCAAGAATTCTAATAAAAGCACTAACAAGTATTTCTCTCTGGCGAGATTCTCGTCCGTATTCAAAAAAGAGCCCAAACAACACCGTGGCGGAGATCCAGACAATGTTTCCGGGTCGTCCGTTAAGCGAATGAGCACGACGGCGAAGGAGGTGATAAGAAAGTACTTAAAAAAGGTTAAGCCCTTGTACGAAAAAATATCGCAGAAACAGCAGCAGCAACAGCAACAACAATTACAAAAACTGGGACGGTTGATGACCGTCCCAGCACCTACGACCACGAATGCGATCTCCTTTTCGACGAAATCCGAGAAGTCGGCGAGAGGAGCCGATCAATTACCGGGCAAGAACACGAGAAAAGACGGCAACAACAACAACAACAACGGCGGTTTTTCGCATTCGTTCTCGGGGAATTTGAGGTATCCTAGAAGGAAGAGTTGCATCTCAAGCTGCCCGTCGTCAATCCGGTCGTCGCCGAGCCACTCCGGGGTGCTCTGCAGGCCGGGACACGGCGGTGGAAAGGGAGGAGTAATGTCCAACTACGCGGACACGTCGTCGATGGAGGAACTGCAGAGTGCAATTCAAGGCGCGATTGCTCATTGCAAGAACTCTTTGGTGCAGAACAACAATAAGAACAAAACCATGGTCAGTAATGAGATTTGAGAATAATTAACGAAATAATTAATATATAATTAACCGATCAAATTAATCTTTTTAACTCTAAAATTTCGCGTCTGTCTTTTTCTGTAGAGCTTTTGATTCTCTTCTTTTGTTTTTCTTTCATTTTTTGTTTTTTTTTTTTACCGTTGATGTGAGAAAAACTAGGGCTGCATGTGAATCTGATTTGAATTTTTGTTGTAAAAGAGGAGAAATCGAAAGTCTGTCTGTGAATGTAAAAGTCTTGGAATTTGCAATCTCTTCGTCGTTTTTCTTTATGATGATGATCAGTTTCTTTCATTCTGAGACGTAAAATATTTTTATCTCCAGCATGGGAGTACTTGGCTTTTTGTGAGCTATATGATTCGTCTGTCATAACTTTTTACATGACATGTACTGCGTTTTAGCACAACTATAATATAAACGTTATATGTTTTTGTTGTTTTTTTTATTTTTTTATATTTTTGGATGTAATATTAACGGACAAATTTTTTAAATTATTTTTTGTCACTTGTGTCAGCATTCTTTTTTTTAACAAAAATATTTATAAATGCTCTCTGAACTTTATTATTTATATTAATATATCCTCTAAATTTTAAAACGTACTTATTTTGCCCCCGAACTATTATACGTCTGTAACTTTTTTCTCTCCATCTTGATTCTATCAATTTTTTGAATAAAAATATTGATATGACCATTAAATTATTAATTATTTATGATATTTAAGGGTTATTGAATACTGTCTCATCTAAAAATGTTAGTTAAGCATCAATTCTCAAAATATTAGTTTATTAGAGGCAATAAAGAGAAAAAAAATGAAGAGTAAATCTGTATAATATAATGAATTTTGTTATTTTTTCTTAATATTTTACCTAGATAGAAGTGCTTGACATAAAACGTGTTTATGTTTTATAAATACATAGCATTTTTAAATTTAAATCCATTCAGGTCATTTATTTTATTGTACATTTTAAAAAAAATTAACACAAATCTTAAGAAACCTATCAACTTAACAAACTTTAATGGTCAAATATCATAGATAATTAGTACTTTAATGGTCATATTAATATTTTTATTTAAAAAACTAATAAATCAAGATGGGGAGAGAAAAGTTGGAGACATGTCATAATTTAAGAGGCAAAATAGGTTTATTTTAAAGTTCATAGGACATATGGACACAATTGAAAAAAAAAATCAGAGGTATTTATAAGCATTTTTATTAAAAGAACTTAACGGAATTAATCTCAGAAAGTATGTTGACACAAATAACAAAATTTAAGGGGCACGACATACATGTTTTAAAATTCAGTAAATATATTGATACAAGTAACAAACTTAAGCAAGAATTTATAAAATTTGTCAAATTTAATCGAGTTGTTCTGACTTTGTAATAAATAATAAAAATAATAATAGTATTGGGAGGAACAAAATGGAATAAGGAGAAATTTCAAATTTGTTTCTTGGTCCTCGTCGGCCATGTGCGAAAGCTTAAATGACGCTTCAGAAATCTCAGAGAAGCTGTAGCTTCGATTGGATAAGAAAAGTCGCATTAAATGTACACGAGCTATGAACTTTCTGCTTTACCACATTTTCCAAATCTAAAGTTTGAAATTAATTCCCTTTCGTTGTCAACTCTCTTTCTTCAGCGCGTGTATGATTGTATGTTTGCTTCCGTCTCACTATACATATACACATATTATATAATATATACATATATACATTTATATGGTTTGTTGCTACCATTTATCTACATGAATAATCCATATAGTCCATCTAACGTAGCATGTTAAAAAAAAAAGATTAATTTCAAAAATTCTCCCTCAACTATGACATTTGTAACACTTTGTCTTCTGAATTTTAAAACGTAACATATGTTCGTCTTTATCTTTATTCCGTTAACAAGTTTTTCCCTTCTGTTACAATAAGTGGCGAAATTGTTACGTGTTACTTATTTAGTGAGAATTGAAAGCGCAATTACGCTTATACCATCCTAATCAGATAATTCTTCATTTTATTGAAAAAATTCACCATCTTCGCTCCCCATTTTTCTTCATTTTTTTCCTCATTTTGTTCCCCATTTTTCTTCCTTTTTTTTTCTCATTTTGTTCCCCATTTTCCTTCTTTTTTTTCTCATTTTTTTCATGGATGGGCCAGGCGGAAGATCCACTGATTCTTTCTCCGACAACTCAATGAAGTTGAATAAGCACTCCCAGCAGAACAATTGTATTGAGATTTCAAGCATTGATTTGATCTTTCATGATCCTACTCCATCTGCTCTCAAAACATTGATTTATCAATCCACTCATGATGATATCAATGCTAGTAATCTTCTTTTACAGCAGTCTCATTGTCATATCTCTAAGAACAATCATTCTGATATCGTTTTAAAAGAAGAGATATCGGTGGATATCTTTTCGAATAAATCCGATTAAAAGAAGAGATTTATTGCAGTTCTCTCTCTTATCTTACTCTTAAATGCATGCATAGAAAAGATTGGGCCCAAAACATTGCAGGTGAGTAGATCAACAAAGAATCTCTTGAATGTCAACAGCGTTAGAGAATCTCTATTGTTAAAGATCTAGATTTTCTTTCTTTAATGCTTGGAAGGGTTGTTGCAGGTTAATTTACGATAATACCTTCCTCATATGGGTCATGTGCATGACACGTGGCGAATTCTGTCACTTATTTAACAGAAGAGAAAAACTTGTTAACGGAATAAAGTTCGGGAAAAACGGATGTTACGCATTAAAATTCGAGAAGCAAAGTGTTACAAGAGTCATAATTCATAAGGAATTTTTAAAATTAATCCTAAAAAAAATGACAACATTGACGATTTTCATTTCTAAATGTTACGTTATATCGACCTTTCATCCGAGTGTATACTATGATACCAAAAAATACGCTTGAACACGTCAGCCAACAAGGGCACGCCACGTGGCCCCACAGTAGCTGCATGGACGTAGGCGTCGACCGTTCAGGCCACCGACCCCATTAACCCTCGACGTCTATAAGGCTCGTACGGGAAGACGGTTTGGCTAGGGTCGGCCAGGTTGTGGTCAACGCTTGAACTCTGCCGCAACGAGACAACGCCGGCCGTATAAGCACGGGACCCCCGAGGTGACTGCAGTGCAGGTATTAATTATAAACCCTTAAACCGCCTTGCGGTGGGTAACAAGGGATTACAAGAAGTCACAGAACCGTAATAGAAGACCCAACGGCTGAGTGAACAATCCAAAAGTGATTAGTGGGCTACGTGCTTAGCCTAGAAAGTAGGCCACTCGAGTACTTCCACCTGCGAAGGAAAACCACCTACGAAGGAAGCTTGGGCTATAAAAAGGGCAAAGCCCCATACGCCCAAAGGAGGGACTTTTGGAAAAAAAGGGCAGGAGAAGAGAGATAGCATGCATATAAATTGTAAAGGGTCCAAAATAAATATACCTTATGCAAGTGGATGTAGCCCTTCATTAACAGGGTGAACCACTATAAATCCCGTGTATTCCCTTATTCAAGTGTTATATTCATGTTCAGCACACACTTGATAGCATAATTCTAAATATACAGTTAATTTCTAACCGGTAGCCCAACAGAATATCAGAGGGTCATCCAGCGTATTTTCTGTTGATGAGATTTAACCGTCAACATATACTATAATAAAAACCTATATATACGTCCTATATGTATGCTTCCAACGTGCATATGAATAAGTATATCATATATTCATCAAAATTTTAGCTTTGTATAGTTCTAAATGGAATTCATATAAATCTCACCAACTTCTAGAGCAATTCTTTAAATTATGAAATTCGCTATGCATGTACTTTAGAAGGAAGGAAAAAAAAAATCAGTCTTATATATATTGTCGACAAATATGACTACACGTTTATCCTTTTAATGTCGGTGGTCGAATATCTGACCATATAAATTTATGGATATATATAAATACTCAACGGCTAGAAAAAAAAAAAGGACAAGAGAAAAGAAAAGGCACTTCTGGATAATAATTTATGGATAATTAATGAACCTCTCTTTTAGAGAAAAATCTAAAGCATTGTTCTTAAATGCAATGATAATAATTTATTGATTTATTTTCTTTTTATTTAAACAATGAAAAGAAATACCGCGTGCGCATGTTAAGTGTGCTACGTGGCCGGCATTTCTTCGATCAATAACAATATTGCTTCTTTTAAAAAATTTTAACAATATTAATGGTTGGAATATGCTTCTATATAATATTGTATTAGAAACCTTCGCAAGTTTACTAGCATACTCCTTGTAAGTTCTCTTTTTAAAAAAAAAAAAAAAACAACAACAACAACATGGACGACATTGTAATGTTTTGGCATAGAAAAACCTTTACGATTACACTTTTTGAGAGAGCAAGGTATACAAAGAAAAATGTTAAGAGTACTCCTCAGTTCCAAATCCTTTTTTGATTTTTTTTTAAGGATGTATAACAAACACTAATCAAAAGTACAATAGAACTTACCTCGTTCGTTCGTTTTGTTAATTTGAATCACAACTTAAGTTTTTATTATAATATTTTCTCTTATAAAAATTTAAATTTAGGGCCCGTTTAGTTCGCTGATTCGAGTTTTTAATTCGAGTTGAGATATGACTTTATGTGAGAGCTTTTTACTGTAGCAAAAAAATTAAATGTGATTGTTTGTGAGAGCTTTTTACTGTATAAAAACTTGAATTTTAAACTCAAATATTCTAAACTCGAATCAGCGAAATGAACGGAGCCTTAATTTTTTATATTACAATATTTTTTTTATATAAATTCACTTTTCAACTCAAGTTAAAAATTTAAATCAACCAAGCGAATGAGATCGTAAAATCCATTTTTTTATTAATTGTAGTGTTAAATATGGGTACCGTTCCAAAATATTTCCCTACACAAATTATTACTAGTGGGTGAAGTATGGCAAAATCAGATTATTCATACTCTTATAATTGTACGGTTAAAAAGGTCCTCTTTAGTAAAATGAAAGGAAACAAAGTACAATCTTTTGTGCTGACTGTTGGTCCGAAAAAGAAAAACAATGAAAACCTTTTATAACTAGGAATCTAATAAGTGAACATTACGCGCATTAGATGCGCTTGGATAAGGCTAAGCTCTCTCCATTATTGATCCGGTGGACGGGCATGTACGGCTAAATATATGATTGGCTATGATTCAATCATTGCCATACACTTGTCACCCTGTTGGTGGTCAGTCCTGTCACCGGCTTGATCCACAGATTTTTTTCGAATCTATGCTGCTTCCGAAAGGACGCCCCAGCAAACACACGGTGGGGACACTCACATAGAAGGAGATCAAAACTCAGCCACTGTCCCTTCTCCCTTCAATTAATAATGTACACTTGTATTTAAATGGTGGGGTTACTGGGGTACGTGGCAATATACGTGCGACAAATAAAGGGTTGTTCTTTTATATTTTTTAGTTAGAATAATTTGAGTGATGATCTTGAGTTGAGTTTGAGTTATAACTTGAGTTGAAGTTATAACTTGAGTTTGTGTTTAGGTGTGCACAATTTAGTTATGATTTGAATTGAGAATCTATTTGAGTTTGTATTTGGGCGGGTCAAAACTTAAATTTGTATTTATATAATATTTTAATAAAAACTCAATGGTGATGAAAAATTTTAATAGGGTATATGGGTGTAGTTTTATTCGTCTTTTCGTTGTGAATGCATAGAAAAGAAAATTATCTTAATCAGAATTAAAACGAAAAAGTTATTACATTTTTAAGAATAGAAAAAATAATGTTCATTAACTTGAGTTCGAGTTTATGAACTCGAGTTAAAGGAAAAACTTGAATTCAAGTTTAGCCCTAAACTCGAGTTCAAACTCAAATTTTACAAAAGAACATGAACTTTAACAAAATTATAACTCGAGTTTAAACTTTTTCTGAGTTTCGTTGCAAAAGAACAACCCCTAAATATATAAAGCTCTGTTTGAGAGAACTTTTCAAAAACTGTTTTTGGTTTCCTACCTTAAAAAATTACTTTTAGAAGTGTTTAGATGAACTGTTATAATTGTTTTAGTTTTTTAAAAAAAGTTTTCAACAAAAGCCACAAAATGAGTCTTCTAAAAAAACACTTATAAATAAAATTTAAAACTTGCACGGGAATATTATTAAAACATTATAAACTTAATTTTAACACATTTATTGCCTACTATAAAACTTAAAAATGATTTTGACCCGTTAAGTTCTTTTATTTTAAATACTAACTAAAAAGTCACAACTTTTTCTTTTTTTTACTGGCTAAAGTAAAAGTATAAAAGTAAAAACTCTGTTAAACGGGTCTTATATATGTTAGTATTTGGAACGTGATTGATAAGTGTATGTCATTTGAACAGTCTATTTAAATGCTCAATCTAATTTAACCACACAGTAATAGAGGAGATTAAAAAAGTAAAAAAGGGTCATATAAATGTATAATTTTTTATGAGGCACATTTAAAAATATTAAATTTCAAAAAAAAATTCAAAAAAAATGTATCAAAATGCGTGTTTCAATCATAACATAATATTTTGAGCTAGATAAATTATATTGTAAACTAATTCGGGCGTACATATTTAAAAGAAAAGGACGTTCAAGTAAGGCATATTTGAGAACAATTATTTAATGGTTTTTTAATATTATGAAAATAAAAATATTTAAAAATAAATAAAATAGAAAACTAATTGAGATGCTCATGTTATCCGTGTGTGAGTCACCTGAGCAATTTTTTTGATAGACTGATTTTGATTTTGAACACATGGTAGTAGAAAAGATTAAAAAATAATAAAATAAATATATAATTATTGATAAGATGCATTTTAAAACCTACATTGTAATTGAAAAAATAGATGTATCAAATGCATGTTTCAAATCAATGTAGGTTTCTGTCAAAAGTTATATTTTTATATACAAATTAGAACATATTAAAAGAAATATTTTGATAAGGACAAACCAAATAAAAAATTAATTAGGGTGTACATGTAGAAAACAAAAAGGTGTTTAAATAAGGACATATTTGATAATAATTATTTCAGTAATTATTTTTAATATAAAACATGTATAAAAACAAAGCGAATAGAAAACTAATTAAGAGTATACTTATAAGAAGAAAAAAATGTTTAATTAAGAGTATATTCGAAAAAAATTATTTCAGTGAAGTAAAAAAGAAACAAAAATTAGTCAAACGCATCTAATCTAACATATATAGATGATTATAAGAGAAATACTTGAGTAGGGATTTATTTGTAAAAAAATATTTTAGCTGATAAATTAGGGAAGTAAGGAATGATTTAATGAAGTAAATTTGAAAATATATAAGATATACGTGGGAAATGCAAA